TAACTGGAGGGTGGTAGAAAAGCTAGATTGTAAGAACTTAAGTTGAGATTGACTTGTGAGAAAGAGGAACCAATGGATATAATATAGATTGCAAATTAGTCATTTTAGGGCCAGCTAATGATGTGCTGGTTAAGGTGTCTAAATCCTACGTGGCTGACTGCATGGTTTGAGTCCTAGACCCAGAAACTTGAAAAACATGCCAGGCATGTGTGCATGTGTGCCCAAAGTCCAGAGAGGAGAATGGAGGAAAAGGGACTGCAGCAAGGGACTTGGCAGGGGTACAGCAAGGGCCCCACTGGAGGGGACGGGGATGCTTTCTCATTTTCCCTTTCTCTCTCTCTCTCTCGTGAGTACGTGCACCCTGTGCAGTTTTTTTTTTTTTTAAAGACATTATAGTAAATGATTTAAAGCTAAGGCAAGCAAATAGTTTATTTTGAGAGTAAAAGGATGCATTATAATAATTATCTGACATGTACCAGGACATTTGGTCACCTCATTTCAAGTTTTTTTAAACTAGATTGTATGTTTATGTATGTTGTGTGTGTTATATGTGCGTGTGTGTTAAATGGTGTGTGTGCTCACCAAGGAGAGGAGAGGGAAAGCATCACACGTGGAGAACGGTCATGCTGCAAATCCCTTTTCCTCCATTTCCCTCCTTTCGAGGTTTTGAGCACATACCCACATGCATCCAGCATGTTTCTCAAGGTTCCGGGACTCAAACTGTGTGGTCAGTAACACAGAATCCTGCAGCCTTAAACACCAGACTGCAGAGCTGCCTCGTGCTATAGATTTGTAAAATTCAGAAAATGATTATTGCTTAATAATGTTTATTGGTTATTTTTTCATATTATATTTTTGAGTAATGATCAGTATTATAATAATATAATATTGATATCCTGACTGGATACCATCTTTTACATCCATTGTATTATCAGTGTATTAGTTAAAAAAAAATTATAAAAAGTAACATGTCATATACAAGGGAAAATGAACAACAAAGGGGGAAATAGAAATCTCAAAATAGAAAGTTCATGCTATGGTGTCTTCTATAAAATACAAAGTTCTTTAGTTTGACTTGGTTAGATAATTTTAGAGGACCCCTATTGCTTTTTAATGTATATTTGTTTGCTTGACCTGTATATATTGCCATGTGTCATGGTTATTTTGCTAATGTGATAAAATACTGTGAGCTATTTATAATGAAACTTTTTTTTTTAAATTTAGTTGACATCTGAAATGTTTGAAGCAGATCTTGAGAAGGCATTGTTGCTAAGTAAATTAGAATATGAAGAGCACAAAAAGGTATTTATATGTTTATTGATTTAGTTACTTTAGAAATGTAAGTGGTCAAAGGTTAGGACCAACCTTACTGAATTTTACATAGAAGTTCTTGCAAGTTTGTCCTGGGCCAGCCAGTGACATGGTGATTAAAACCCTGGATTCCACATGGCTACTTGAGTGGTTTGAGTCTCAAACCCCGCAGCTTGAAAAACACACCAGGCACGTGTGTGTGTGTGCATGCCTGAAATCCCAAGAGGAGAGTGGAGCCGAAGGGATTATTGCAGGTCCACCCTTCTCGGGGGATGATTTCTCACTTTCCCTCTCTATTTTCTCTTTCTTGCTGGCAAGTGCACACGCTCTAAAACAAAACAAAAGAAAAAAGTTTGTCCTAAAAATATATCATTATAACAAAGTATTATCAAGAGATTTTCACAATAGGATTCCTTATCAAATTTTAAAAGATACAGAAACATAGGGACTAAGCTTTGTCTGATGATTTGAAATGTTAAAGAGTTAACATTAGTTAGGGAGTTCCTCCACCCAAAATGAACAGGAGAGAGGGAGTTAAATTCGCAGTGCATGATTATTTTAATTTTAATTGAACATAGAAAATAAGTAGATTTTTAAAATTTAAGTAAATATAGGTATTGCAGTATAGGGACATCCATTAACAGACCCTCTGCCAGAGAGATCCTATAGTTAATGATAGTAAATGGGAGGTTGTTTCTCGTATTTTGGCCTTGTAAACGTGACATTTGTCATATTTCAATATTAGGCTGTTCAATACAAGGTGATAAAATGCATTCTACTATTTATGGTTGTTGTAACATTTAAGTAAAAAGTAGTGTTGGTTTCCAGTGTCTATATTTAAATTGTTTGAGCATCGATTATCTTTATATCACTTAATGTTTTAGTCCTTAATATTTATAGGTATTATTTTGGTTTATAAAATTTATTCAACTCAGTAATTGATCATACTTACACGTGGTCTCTGGTCATGTGTAAGGTTTTTGGTCATATCATTGCACGTAAGTACCTTTTTCCAAGATGAAATAAAGAGAGTTGTAAAATGTATAGCAGATGATTTTAGTACTTACTTATAGTTTCAAGGAAAAGGATAAAAGTTGCCAGTAAAGTGGACTTTGTACATATTATATGTTAATTTCATTTCCTGTATCCCTATTCTTCTCCCCAAATCAGAAATGGCTATAATGGTTACATGTCTATTTAGACACAAAGCAGGCAATTACAAAAATGAATGCAATGAGACCAGCAGTTAGCGTAATGGCTGTATCGCTGAACTCCCATGTAGCTGACCGCAGTTTGAGTCTCAGACCTGGTGGCTTAAAATCACGCTGGGCGTGTGTGCGTGCGTTCCCAAGATCCCGAGGAGAATGGAAGAGAAGGGATTGTGGCATGGCCATCCCCCCTGGGGGGTGATTTCTTGATTTCTGTCTCTCTCCGTCTTTCTGGCGAGTGCACGCACCCTGTAGCAAAAACCTCTCAAAAAAAAATTAATGCAATTAGCTTCACTGTGATTTAATCATTTAAATGGACTTTGGAACCAGCCCTGTAGCCTAGCAGTTAAGGGAACCAGATCTCATATGGCCAACAGCAGTTCAAATACCAGCCCCGGTGGCTTAGGAAACATGCCAAGTAGGTACGTGTGTATGAGTGCCTCAGATCCCAACAGGATAGAAAGATTGGGGACCAACAAATGACATAATGGTTACTTCACTGGTCTCCCATGTAGTCGACCTTGGTTTGAGTCCTGGACCTGGCAGCTTAAAACTTATACTGGGCACATTTGTGTGTGTGCCCAAGATCCCAAGAGGAGAATGGAGGAGAAAGGATTGTGATGTGGCCATTCCCCGGGGGGGGGGGGGGTGATTTCTTGCTTGCTGTCTCTCTGTCTCTCTGGCAAGTGTACATACCCTATAGCAAAAATCTCTCTTAAAAAAAAAAAAGATCGAAGTGAAGGGATTGTGGCATGACTCACCCCATCAGGGGGTACTTGTTCTCTCTTTCTGTCTTCTCTGTCTTGTCAGTACATGTGCCCTCTGGCTATTTATTTAACTTTATTATTATTTTTTTTTGGAGAGATTTTTGCTATAGGGCACGTGTGCTCGCCAGACAGACAGAGACAGACAGAGAGACAGAAAGCGAGAAATCACCCCCCAGGGGGGATGGCCATGCTGCAATCCGTTCTCCTCCATTCTCCTCTCGGGATCTTGGGCATGCACGCACATGTGCCTGGCGTGAGTTTAAGCCACCGGGTTCGGGACTTGAACCACGGTTGACTACGTGGGAGTCCAGCAACATAGCCATTATGCTAACTGCTGGTCCCTATTTAACTTTTTTTTCTTTTTAAGTTTGTTATAGGGCATATGTACTTGCCCAAGGGATGAGGGGGTTAAGAAATCCACCCCCCCCCCCCAAGAGGATGGCCACACTGACATCCCTTCTCCATCCTCCTGTTGGGATTTTGGTCATGCACACACATGCACCCAATATGTTTTTCAACCCGCTGGGTCCAGGATTTGAACCATGTAGTTGGCCCTGTGGAATATAGCCACATTAACCCCCATGCCACCAGCTGGCCCATCCCTCTGGCAAATTTTCTCACTTTCTTAAAAGTGAGAAAAATAGACTTTTAGATTACACTGGAGAGATTCTCCTGTCTTGCTCAATTAGATAAAGTTTATCGAATAGAATATTAAGACAATTTTTTTCTTGTTGTTAGATAATATGTTTTGGTTCTAAAGATGTTCTTAGAGGAGGAGCAGAGTAAATGATGTTGATAAAGTATGCTTTCAACTGGTTTTCTTGGGACAATCTTAGGCTTATTACCCAAAAACATTAGTTTTACCAGGCTATAAAGATTCTAAGATAATGGAGGAACTCCTTTTAGATACATTGCTTAGTTTGATGTGACTATTACATTGATGTAGACAATTGAATTTTAAGTGAATATCCCAATAAAATGTGATTATTTTAGTCAAAGGATTTTTATAGTAGATAATTAAAGTTTGGGATGATGTTTCTGATTTTGTTCTGTCACTCATATTTGTGGTGTATTTTTTTTTTTTTTGAGAGAGGTTTTTGCTATAGGGTACATGCGCTCGCCAGAGAGACAGAGAGACAGAAAGCAAGAAATCACCCCCCAGGGGGATGGCCACACTGCAGTCCCTTCTCCTCCATTCTCCTCTCGGGATCTGCAGCACGCAGTTACACACACCAGGCGTGAGTTTAAGCCACTGGGTCCGGGACTCAAACTGTGGTCGACTACATGGGAGTTCAGCGACATAGCCATTATGCCAACTACTGGTTCCCATATATTTATGTTTATATTTAGTTCTATCACTAAAGATTTATTGAATAGCTGAAGTGTGTAAGACACACAACACAAAGGTGAGGACAGGTCCCAACCCTTCTGTTTAGTGTAGGGAGACATACATGTAATTATAGAGAAACATGTTTTCAGAGCAACATGAGTTGAGGAAAACAAGACTTTTCAGTAACTTTGGTGGGGATGAATTTTAGAAAAGGATTTTTAAAAAAGAGTCTTTTTATTTATTTTTTTAGACGTTTTTTCTTTAGGGTTTTTGCCAGAGAGAGAGGGAGACAGACACTGAGAGAGAAAGTGAGAAATCACCCCCTTCGACTACATGGGAGTTCAGCGACATAGCCATTATGCCAACTACTGGTTCCCATATATTTATGTTTATATTTAGTTCTATCACTAAAGATTTATTGAATAGCTGAAGTGTGTAAGACACACAACACAAAGGTGAGGACAGGTCCCAACCCTTCTGTTTAGTGTAGGGAGACATACATGTAATTATAGAGAAACATGTTTTCAGAGCAACATGAGTTGAGGAAAACAAGACTTTTCAGTAACTTTGGTGGGGATGAATTTTAGAAAAGGATTTTTAAAAAAGAGTCTTTTTATTTATTTTTTTAGACGTTTTTTCTTTAGGGTTTTTGCCAGAGAGAGAGGGAGACAGACACTGAGAGAGAAAGTGAGAAATCACCCCCTGGGGGATGGCCATGCCGCAATCCCTTCTCTTCCATCCTCCTAGGATCTTGGACATGCACACACACACACCTGACATGATTTTCAAGTCACTGAGTCCAGGACTCAAACCGTGGTCAGCCATGTGGGAGTCCAGCGATGTAACCACTATGCCACATGCTGGTCCATAGAAGAGTCTTACTAGATATATTAGAAGTCCACAAGGTAGACAAGAAGAAAGTAATCATTCTCAAGGAAGGAGCAACAAATATGCATGTGTATTAAAGAATATTGCATATTAGATAAACTAATTTAGGGATCTAGAATTCTGAAGAGATGGGCAGAAGGACAGGATGCAAAGGAGGTTAGGATATAAAGAACCTCATGTTCTATGCTAAGAAGGTTGAGTTTTATACATCTGTTGGCAGAAAGATTTTGCATATTTTTAACCTTTAGATTGATATTGGGCTTTCATTTTAGAAACTCAGACTGTAGCAGTGCAGAAGATGAATTGAGGGGCTAAATTTAGAGACTATTGGAATGTCCCAGCAAAAGAAGATAGGGAAATGACAGAAGGTGTGAAGAAAAGAGAATAGATTTAAGAGATCTTAAAGAGATTAACTCAATAAGGCCAACTAGCTAATTTGAATATGAAGTGTGTAGGAAGAGTAGCCAAGGAGAACCTGAAATTTCTAGCTCAGTTGTGTAGATGGTAATGGAGTAGCAAGGTACTTAGAGAAGAGTCTTTAACAGGGCAGAGTGTGAAAGGCAGGGCGGTGGGATGGAAGAGGACACATGTACTGTGGAGATGCTGATTGAACATGACAGTTGAGCTGCCTTTACATACAGAAATCATTAATGTATAGTAGAACTTCATACTTTGATAGTGAAGAAAAATAGATTTAAATAAAGCATAAGAAGAATAGGTTAAAAATGAGACAGTGGTGGGGCCAGCAGATGGTGTGGTGGTTAAGACCTAGACTCCCATGTCACTGATGGTGGCCATTTATTTATTCTGTCCCAGACCTAGAGGCTTTAAAAACAATCAGGGCTCATGTGTGCATGCCCAAAATCATGAGAGGAGCACAGAGGAGAGGGGATTGCTGTGCGTCCATCTTCCCTGGGAGGTGGTTTCTCACTTCCCCCTCTATCTCTCTGTTTCTCTCCTGCTAGTGCCTTCACCCTATGGCAAAAAACTAAAACAAAAAAAAGGGGACAATAGTGGACAGCAGCTACATCTTTAAGAGGGTTGGGAAAAGAAGCCAGTGAAGAGGACTTAGTAATCAGAAATGTATTGAAGAAACCAAGAGATGCTTGAAAAAATAATGTCTTCTAGATTTAGCAGTTAAGAGGAGGTTGACCTTAATTTTAATGTCAGAACAGAAGCTAGATTCAATGATGTGAGAAAGGAAATTGACTGTAGATTATTGTCTTAAATTTAATCCTAGAAGGATGGAGAAGAAGGTGGCAGTGAGGAGGAAGTATAGTCCAAGGCATAAGTTTTGTTTTTATTTTAACTTTTAAGGTGCAAGATATTGAATATATAAGTAAATAGATATCCTTTTATACAGTTTGGCTAGCACAAGATTTTGATTTTTTTATTTGCCTTTTACTTTTGAAAAAGGAAATTTTTTTTTTTTTTGGAGAGGTTTTTTTTTGTTGTTGTTGTTGCTATAGGGCGTGTGTGCTCGCCAGAAAGACAGAGAGAGACAGACAGAAAGCAAGAAATCACCCCCCCAGGGAGGATGGCCATGCCGCAATCCCTTCTCCTTCATTCTCCTCTCGGGATCTTGGGTACGCACACACACGCGCCCAGCGTGAGTTTAAGCCGCCGGGTCTGGGACTTGAACCGCAGTCAACTACATGGGAGTCCAGCAACATAGCCATTACATTAACTGTTGGTCCCGAAAAAGGAAATTTTAAAAAGCACTTATTGGTGAGTTGATTTTGCAGTTTGTAAATAGAACCTAATTATTATTGACCCTTTTTTTTTTTAGGAGTATGAAAATGCTGAAAATGCTTCAACTCAGTCAAAAGTTGTGAATAAAAAAGATAAAAGAAAGAATCATCAGGGAAGAGACAAACCTGTCACAGTATCACTAAAAGATTTTCAATCTGAAGGTAAGATACGTACAATATTTTTTATGTTAGAAGAACTGTTATGAGCCTTCTTATATTTAAGTTGTGCCTTTCTAATTTTTCAAAACAAGTAAAAATCCTGTTGTTAAAGTGATGCCTAGAATATAAAAACTGTAAACCTTCTAATAAGTCTATTTTGCACTGCTAGAGCAATACTTGAAATTGAGCAATTTGTAGTGAACAGAAGTGTATTGGGTCACTTCTGGAGACTGAGAAGTTCGATATCACAGTGCCAGCATCTGGTAGGGCCTTCTTCCTTTGCCACATCACCACATGGCAGGAGGTGAGAGAGCAAGAGAGAGTCAAATCCGTCCTTTTGTAACAGCATCAATCCCACCTATAAGGGTGAAGCCCTCATGGCCTAATCATCGTAAAGGTCCCTGTTACTTAGTAGGGGAAACTACTTAATTTAGTGTCTACTGTACTGTACTACTACTATGTTAAGTCGTGTCTCCTAGTCACAGTTTGCTTTCATTGGTTTTAGTCACCACCAGTGGACCACAGTCTTAAAATATTAAATGAAAAGGTCTAGAAATAAACAACTCGTAAGTTTTTTTTTGAATAATTATTTTTAAATTTAACTTTATTATTATTATTATTATTACTATTGTTATTTTCCAGTTTGATCAGAGAGAGAGCGAGAGAGAGAAAGAAAGTGGGAAAGCAAGCCACCAGGTCCAGGACTCAAACCACAGTCAGCCATGTGGGAGTCCAGCACCTTTAAGCACTACACCACCTGCCAGTCCCCAACTCATAAGTTTTAAATTGCACTGTTTTACATAGCATGCTGAAATCAGGAGGCATCCTGCTCCATCCCACCCAGGGTGTGAATCATCCCTTTGGTATATCCATAGCTACCTGATCATTAGTCTTTTAGTAGCCATTTTGGTTTTCATATTGACAGATCACAAGAAAAAGAAGGATGAGTACAGTATAAGAAGATATTCCTGAGAGGGAGAGAGAGACCACATCTGTATAACTTTCATTACAGTGTATTGTTACAATTCTATTTATTAGTTATTATTATCTCAATGTTCCTAATTTATAAAATAAACTTTATCATAAGTACGTGCATATAGGAAAAAATACAGTATGTATGGAGTTTGGTACTATATTCTGTTTCTAGCATCCATTGGGGATCTTAGAATATATCTCCCAGGGATAAGGGGGAGCTACTCTACTGTTACAATGGCAGTTAAATTTCAACTAGAGTTTTGGAGAGACAAACACATTTGAACCATAGCAACTTGTTCAGAAATAAACTAAAATCATTTGGGTTAAAATAATTTACAACCAGTCGTTAAAACCCCATAAAATTTGAGTAAGCATTTGTCTTTTGGGTGGCTACACAGTCGTACAGTGGTAAAATGTGCTGCTCTGTGAGGCTCATCCACAGGGGGCTGTTCTGGGTTTGTGGCCAGAAACATCCCTGACTGCACCAGGCACACACGTGTGCATGATCCAGGTCTCACTGGAGGTAGGAGTGGGTTGTGGTATCAAGACCCTGTAGGGGTTCTCTCTTTTCTCTCTTGCTCATGGGAGAAATAAACTAAAAATAAAGAGGGAGAAAGAATTTATCCTTTTGCATTTCTGAGTTTTTCCCATAGCTAAAACGTACTAAGAATAAAAATTGATATTTGTAGTTTTTGAGTCATTTTGAAACATGCTATTGTCCTTTTACATAAAGTAGTTTGCCTTACACTGTGCCAGGAATAGTATCTTTACATCTTAGCCTCTTCAAATGAGCTGGAATTGCATCTTAGAAATAAAATACAAATTTTAGAGTAAGACTTATTAATAGACATTTGTATTTTTTATTGAATATAGAAGACAGAGGGAATTGTATCATCCTCTAAACTTCTGAAGGTAGACCACAAAGCACATTATTTTTAGTGTAAGAAATAATAAAAACCCTATAAGATTATGATGATAATAAAAGATTTTTTTAAAAAAAGAAATAATAGACACCCTTAAACCTGTATTGTACAGTGCAATAGCCACTATTCATATGTGGCAACTTAAATATATGAATAAAAATTAAAATGTAGTTCTTTAGTCGCCTTAGCGCGTTTGAAGTGCTCAGTAGCCGTATGCGACTAGTGACCTTCTGTATCAGCCAAGATAGAACATGACTATCATCACAGAGGATTTTATTGAATATCCACTGTGTCTATACCAGTTAGAATGATTGGTGGCTATATGAAATCAACATATAGTTTTTTTTATAATACACATTTTCATGCACTTTTTAAAGACTCCTTATACTTTCTTTTTATATTTTAGATTCTAGATGGTATCTGTAGATTCTGTTGTCTTTTTTTCCTCATTTTATTCTAATTCTTTTCCAGAAATGCTGTCTTATTACTAAGTCAATGATTTGTTTCATCAAGATATATTCATTTAGGTTTTTATTTGTATTTATTCTACAGAGATCAATTTTTAGCATTTTTTCATATTTTTATCAAATGACTATGATGTGTATATTTAAAATAAAGAGTTAATAGTTTTAAAGAACATAAAATACTATTTTGCTTTTTCTTTCATTCTACAAAGGCAGTTACAGTAACCAGTGATTTGATTTTGGACATATTTTGTCCCACTACCTTGCTCTCCCTTACAAAATAAACTGTGTGACACTAAAAATCTAAATTATATAGAACTCACATATTTTTTAAAAGCTTACTTCCAAAGAGAGAGAGAGGCACCCTCAGCAGGGTCTTTATGCTGCAGTCCTTCCTGCCGCCTTGTAGCCAGACAGGATCACAGGTGCGCCAGCGTATTAAAGTAGACCCAGGACATAAACCTGGAGCCTTTCCACATGCACCCCAGCATCCCATGGCTGCACCCCTGTTGCCTGCATGACTGTGGATGGGCCCAGGTTTAAAATTCAATAATTCCTCGGTATGGGTAGCATTTACTGGGATTTAAGACCTGATCACCAAACTGAGCAAATTAGTAATAATCTGAATTTTTAAAAGAATGTATTCCACGAGTGAAAGAGAAAGATAGAGAGCATCCCCAGTGGGGTCTCATTGTCCAGCCTTCAGCCACTCTGGATCATGGACAGCACTCTCCTGGCATGCTCAGGACCTCTCCAGCCCGTATGGGATTGCCTGGAGAGGTGCCTCATTTTGCCTTGGCGCGACCATATGGCCTCCTATATTTTGAATTTTAAAATCTTAAATAAAGAAAAATAAATCAATTGCAAGTCTTAGAAAACTCTTAAATGACTTCTATAAAATTATTTTAGTTACTTTTTTAGCATTAAAACATTTTATATGTTAAATCCCTTCAGCGAAATTTCACCTTTTTTTTTTATTTGTTTACAGATCATATTAGTAAAAAGACTGAGGTAAGTCTTATTGTAACCATCTTGTACTGTAGAAAACACTGGTAATTTTAAGGATGATACTTTAATGTTTATCAGTTTTTTATGGGACATAGTCTTTTAATGGACAACCCATAGGTTTGTCTGGATGAATCCAATGTTTCCATAATTACAAAGATATAAAATACATTATAGTAGGAAAAAAAGGGTTATTTGCATGAAGTGTAGTTCTATTTTACTTTTCCTAGATGTGCGTGTATGTATATTAGTCAGAAGGTTACCATATGTGTGCCAGTTTTAAAGTTTCAGGAAAAAGTGGTTTAATCTCCAAGTCTGCATTTTAATCTTGATTAAAAACTTGTTCTAAGACCATGTCTCAAGGTATTTGGGAATTATGGAAATTGTGAGGTGAGCATTGATTCTGTAGATACACACATGGGTAAGAGTAACCTAATTATATTATTCTCTTTCCATTCACTATCAGAATGTCGTACAGCCTACATACCTTCCTGGTGTTATGTTTTTTGTTTTGTTTTACTTATTTTTTTCAAAGACTATAAGGTCTAGCCTCTACAAACCTGATAGAATTATAAAATACTCTCTATCTAACATTAAGACAAATATTAATAAAGTATTATGATTATTTTAATTTCTTATGGGAGTAATTTCAGAGTTTAATTTTTCTCCTATTATGTATGTATTCTTGTCAGCAATTCCATTGATTAATTTTTTTAAAGAATTATTTTATTGGGACCAGCAGTTAGCGTAATGGCTATGTTGCTGGACTCTCATGTAGTCGACCACAGTTCGAGTCCTGGACCCAATGGTTTAAACTCATGCTGGGCACGTGTGCGTGCGTGCCCAAGATCCTGAGAGGAGAATGGAGGAGAAGGGATTGTAGTGTGGCCATCCCCCCTGGGGGATGATTTCTCGCTTTCTGTCTCTCTGTCTCTGTCTGTCTGGCGAGTGCACGTGCCCTATAGCAAAATCCTCTCCAAAAAAAAAGAAAAAAAATTATTTTATTTAACTTTATTTATTTTTATTATTATTATTTTCCAGTTTAAGAGAGACATAGAGAAAAAGAGAGGGAAAGTGAGAAAACAAGCCACCAGGTCTGGGTCTTGAAGCACGGTCAGCCATGTGGGAGTCCAGCACCTTTAACCACCACGCCACCTGCCAACCCCACCATTGATTAATTTTTTAATGGTCATACATCCCTTGATTTCAATTTAGAATATATCCTTAATGGGGACCAGCAGATGGCGTAATGGTTATGTCACTGGACTCTCATGTAGTAGTCAACTATGGTTCAAGTCCTGGACCTGGCAGCTTAAAACACACTGGATGCGTATGCATACGTGCCCAAAATCCCAAGAGGAGAATAGGGGAGAAGAGATTGTGGTGTGGCCATCCCCTCTGAGGGATAATTTCTCATGCTCTGTCTCTCTCTGCATCTCCGGCGAGTGTACATGCCCTATAGCAAAAATCTCTTTTAAAAAAATTTACATACACACAGACACACACACATACACACACATATACATACATACATAGTTAGTGGGGACCAGCAGATAACGTAATGGTTACATCACTGGATTCCCACGTAGTTGACTGCAGTTTGAGTCCTGGATCCACCGACTTAAAACTCATGATGGGCACATGTGTGTGCATGTCCAAAATTACAAGAGGAGAATGGAAGAGAAGGGATTATGGCATGGACATCCTGGGGGGGGAGTGATTTCTCATTTTCTCTCTCTCTCTGTCTCTCTGGCAAGTGCATGCACCATGGTAAAAATCTCTCTTAAAAAAAAATAAAAAGAAGATATACTTAATAGTTCTGATATTTTTTGGTTTTAGGCATCTGTTTGCCAGTCAGAAAAATGAAATATGTATTTTTTAGAATTATTTATTTAATTTTATTTGTTGTTATTATTTTTTAATTTGACCAGAGAGAGACAGACAAAACATGGGAAAATGAGAAAACAAACCACCAGGTCTGGAACTTGAATTGCAGTTTGCAGTGTGGGAGTCTAGCACCTTTAACTACCATGCCCCTGCCAGCCCCAAAATCTATCTTTGAAGAAAATCACATTTAGGGACCAGCAGATGGAGTAATAGTTATGTCGCTGGACTCCCATGTAGTTGACTGCAGTTTGAGTATTAGACCCAGTGACTTAAAACTCATGCTGGGCATGTGTGCATGTGTGTACACTCAAGATCCCAAGAGGAGAATGGAGGAGAAAGGATTGCTGGTGTAGCCTTCCCCCCTCAGGGGTGATTTCTTGCTTTCTGTTTCTCTCTCTCCAATGAACACATGTGCCCTATTGCAAAAATCTCTCCAAAGAAAGAAAAGAAAACACATCTAAATAACTCTCTAACTGTATTAATAATTTAGTCCTGGGACCAGCAGGTAGTATGGTACTTAAGGCACTGGATTCCCACATTGACAACTATGGTTCTTTTTTTTTTTTTTTGAAAGGGTTTTGTTTTAGGGCGTGCTCACCAGAGAGACAGAGAGACAGAAAACGAGAAATCACCCCCCAGGGGGGATGGCCACACTGCAATCCCTTCTCCTCCATTCGCCTCTCGGGATCTTGGGCACACACACACGCGCGCCCGGCATGAGTTTAAGCCACCAAGTCCGGGACTCAAACCGCGGTTGACTACATGGGATTCCAGCGACAAATAGCCATTACGCTAACTGCTAGTCCCATCAACTATGGTTCTAATCCTGGACCTGGCAGCTTGAAAATCACTCTGGGTACATGTGCGTGCTTGCCAAAAATGTTAAAAAGGGACTGCAGCATGGCTGTCCCCACTGGGGGTTGATTTCTCACTTTCCCTCTCTCTCTTTCTCTCCTGCAAGTGCATTTTCCCCATAGCAAAAACTTTAAAAAAAAATTAGTCCTTAATTAGGCAAAACAGATGATTGAAAATCTTTTTAAGATACTTACAAAACACTGTTGCTGTAGAGTATAATTTAAATGATTACATATATGGACTGAATATTTGAAAGTGGAAACATGCTTTTGGACTGATTTCAATTTTTTTTTATCCACTTATTTGGGGACAGTTTTATGCAAATGAGAAAGCAGGTACAAATTGTTCACCATACTCCTAAAACAACTACCAATAACTGTTAGAGGGAAAAATAATTCTGTAAACATTCCATGTTACTTTTTCTTCATTCTTGATTTGAAAGAACAAAAAATGCAAACTGACAGGATCTTATATATTTAGTATACTCAAGATTAGTTGAATTTCAACAAGCATCTATGTAGAATCATATATTTTATCTTTCATTATAATTTTAGAGCTGTTTCGTCTTCTGTTAGGTCATCAGGAAAGTCATGACATTTTTCTATGCAAAAATATGTCTTGACTTTCCTGATGACCCAATATTATTAAATAATTTCATATGTAATAAAATTCATTTTGAAGAATTCTAATGATTAAGACAAGTTCTGCATTTGTAAATGTAATTATAATTAATTTCTGACATAACTATTTTAAGAAATTGGACAAAAGAATATATAATTCATATTATATTTTGACACTTGTTAAAAACATGTGAAAATTATGTTTCATTTCTTTTTGAGGTATTACTCACATTTTGAGACTTAAATATTTAAATGTTACAATCACTGTGCCACTGCTCTGGAAATGTAGACCTTTTGGGACCAGCAGATGGCATAATGGTTATGTTGCTGGACTCCTACATAGTTGACCACGGTTTGAGTCCCAGACCCAGCAGCTTGAGACTCATGCCGGGTGCTTGTGCGTGTATGCCCAGGATCCTAAGAGGAGAGTGGATGAGAAGGGATTGCTGTATGATCATCCTCACTGGGGGCTGATATCTCACTTTATGTCTCTGTCTCTCTTTGTCTCTCCAGAGAGTACATACACCCTATAGCAAAAATCTCTCATGGGAACCAGCATTAGCGTAATGGCTATGCCGCTGGACTCCCATGTAGTCGACCGCGGTTCGCGTCCCGGACCCGGTGGCTTAGAACTCACGCCAGGTGTGTGTGCATGCGTGCCCAAGATCCCGAGAGGAGAATGGAGGAGAAGGGATTGCGGCATGACCATCCCCCCGGGGGGTGATTTTTTGCTTTCTGTCTCTCTCTCTCTGTCTGTCTGGCGAGTGCACGCACCCTATAGCGAAAAAAAAACTCTTAAAAAAAATCTCTCTTTAAAAAAAAGAGAGAGATGTAGAAATTTTTTTCAGAGAATCCAAAAATAAGTCTTTTTTAAAACATTTATTTGTTTACGTTCATTCACTGTACATCATTATAGCATACAAAATGAGATTTTCCATCCAGAGTACACTGTATATTGTCTCAATCAAGCACAGCAACATACATGTTATTGTCAACAAATAATTTTCCATTTCTTGAAATTGTCCCAATCAAGCACAGCAACATACATGTTATTGTCAACAAATAATTTTCCATTTCTTGTTTGCTGTATGTTTTGCTCCCCCCGCCCCGCATCCTTGATTCCCTATCTCTTACCCTCTACCATCTCCCACTCTCTTCCCACACTGTCTCTGGTATCTCTGTTTACTTTCTATACTGTTTACCCCCCATTTTTTATTGAATTACTAAAGATCTTAATTAATCTAAATATTTTTGTAGCAAACACAGCTGATATATACATTTCCATGAACACAAGTCTAACTTTAGGCATCCTATAAAGTATCATCTAGCTGAGGCTATATATCTTAATTGCAGTCATCGAATGGATTTTTTTTCTGAAACTTTTTTTTGTACCTTAATTTACATT